ACAGGCTTGCTTATTTGGGAGATCTAAATGGCACTACTTCCAATGTGTTTTCATTAATTATCAAAAATCGACAATGCTCCTCTCCACGGTGGACCCCCATTCTCTTCCAACCTCCTTGCCAGGATATTCCTGTATCTTTAAAATTTCTACAACATTCAATAACACTTACTTGACAAAAATCAACAGTCTTTTCGGAAACTGCAAAGTATCCTTTCTCGTTTGTGCATCGGAAAAGCCTGGTAAATTGCATGAAATCACCATTTACGTCATATTTCTTTTTGCCTCCCAAACATTCCCAGAATTTTTCCGGTTCCTCGCCTTCTTTGATAGTTTCCACAGGAAATTCATTGTTCCGATTGATCAATTCACTGGCCACCTAAATTCGCATGCATATAAAAACTTGCGTGTAGAATTCATCAACAAAATTCACTTTCGTGGTGCTTTCACCATCAAAGTCGACAACGAGAATTGAGAAAGTTCTGCATGGGAATCAAGGAAGGGATTTGACCATCGTAGATCTCATCTATGGTGGGAAAAGCGGCGGAACCAGGGAGGAACCATCAAAGCATGATTACCCCCTCTGTGCTCCCTTTTTCTGAGGTGCAGGCACTTGAAAACGGGCCGATCGGTAGCGCATGCCGATAGCAACTAGTTGCCCGCGCAGTCGTCGATAGTTCCTTTCTTCAGAAATCTCCTACGGGTAAACTAATGGCAATTTTAACCCCGCCATGTGCCAGTACAAATTATTTCAGTCGTAACGTAGGAAAAACAAATTGCTGCGGGCGGACACACACACACACACGCATACACACACATACACACGCATACACACACACACGCGCTCATGTACACACATAGACAACCCCGTAACAATATGTATTTTGTGTAGCTGTTTCACAGCACAAAACGTATAAAAATAAATGTAAAAAAATTTTGACGGCAACACACTGCTTATCATCACTCGTCATCACATCATCGATGCAACTTTTTTTTACATAACTTTTTTCCATGCGAGTGATACATCAGCCCCGAATGTCACTTCAAGAGAAAAACTAAAATTACCTTTCAAATTATAATTCAAACTAGAACTGGCACAACAACTAGCTTATCCCGCCTCCTATCTTATTAAATTACCTTTCAAAATTCTTTTACCACAATCGCCGTACTGACGAAGTCCCATTGTTGGTAGAGGTAAGAAATGTATAGGAC